AGGGACAGGTGTGGACACAGTTGTCCCTGCAGGGACAGGTGTGGACACAGTTGTCCCAGTTGTCTCTGCAGGGACAGGTGTGGACACAGTTGTCCCTGCAGGAGGACGTCTCACCTGCTGTCCTCGTGTCTTTCAGGTTTTAACGTGGAGACGGTGGAGTACAAGAACATCTGCTTCACTGTGTGGGACGTAGGTGGACAGGACAAGATCAGACCTCTGTGGAGACACTACTTCCAGAACACACAGGTACGCTACCTGGACAGGTGAGGACAGCAGGAGACAGCTGGACCGTCCTCTGAGGACAGAGCTTAAAGAAAACATCAGATTCACCTGGTCTGACCTCAGAATCACCTGTTAGAGTAAACAAGCTGCTGTTAGCTCCGCCCCTCCATACCTTTATTAGCTCCTCCCCTCCATACCTTTGTGTTAGCTCCTCCCCTCCATACCTTTGTGTTAGCTCCGCCCCTCCATACCTTTGTTAGCTCCGCCCCTCCATACCTTTAACCCAAAGTGAATTTGACGGAACTGAACATCAGCTGAAATCTGTTAAACAAGCTAAAACTGACACAACGATAGCTTAATGTAGCTAATAGACTAGCTGAAGATTTATTGAATTATTGATCAGGTATTGGTCAGCGATTGGTCAGGTATTGATCAGCGATTGGTCAGGTATGGATCAGTGATTGATCAGGTATTGATCAGCAATTGGTCAGGTATTGATCAGGTATTGATCAGATATTGGTCAGCGATTGGTTGGGTATTGATCAGGTATTGGTCAGCGATTGGTCAGGTATTGATCAGTGATTGGTCAGCTATTGGTCAGGTATTGGTCAGCTATTGATCAGGTATTGGTCAGGTATTGGTCAGGTCTTGGTTAGGTATTGATCAGGTATTGGTCAGCTATTGATCAGGTATTGGTCAGCTATTGATCAGGTATTGGTCAGCTATTGGTTAGGTATTGATCAGCGATTGATCAGGTATTGATCAGCGATTGGTCAGGTATTGATCAGCGATTGGTCAGGTATTGGTCAGGTATTGGTCAGCTATTGGTTAGGTATTGATCAGCGATTGATCAGGTATTGATCAGCGATTGGTCAGGTATTGATCAGGTATTGATCAGCGATTGGTCAGGTATTGGTCAGCTATTGGTTAGGTATTGATCAGGTATTGGTCAGGTATTGATCAGCGATTGATCAGGTATTGGTCAGGTATTGATCAGGTATTGATCAGGTATTGATCAGCGATTGGTCAGGTATTGATCAGCGATTGGTCAGGTATTGGTCAGCTATTGGTTAGGTATTGATCAGGTATTGGTCAGGTATTGATCAGCGATTGATCAGGTATTGGTCAGGTATTGATCAGGTATTGATCAGGTATTGATCAGGTATTGATCAGCGATTGGTCAGGTATTGATCAGGTATTGATCAGCGATTGGTCAGGTATTGGTCAGCTATTGGTTAGGTATTGATCAGGTATTGGTCAGGTATTGATCAGGTATTGATCAGGTATTGGTTAGGTATTGATCAGGTATTGGTCAGGTATTGATCAGCGATTGGTCAGGTATTGATCAGGTATTGATCAGCGATTGGTCAGGTATTGATCAGCGATTGGTCAGGTATTGATCAGGTATTGGTTAGGTATTGATCAGGTATTGATCAGCGATTGGTCAGGTATTGATCAGGTATTGATCAGGTATTGGTTAGGTATTGATCAGGTATTGGTCAGGTATTGATCAGCGATTGGTCAGGTATTGGTTAGGTATTGATCAGGTATTGATCAGGTATTGATCAGCGATTGGTCAGGTATTGGTCAGGTATTGATCAGGTATTGGTCAGGTATTGGTCAGGTATTGATCAGGTATTGTTTGTCTGCAGGGTCTGATCTTCGTGGTGGACAGTAACGACAGAGAGAGAGTCACTGAATCGGCCGAGGAGCTCTCGAAGATGGTGAGTGACACTGAAATGCCTCTGTGACTCTGCCCCCCTGAGGGCCGGCTCGACCAATCAGATCAAACAGCTAACAGGAAGTGTTGTGTATGACATCACGGGTCACATGACTGTCCTCTCAGATCCAGGAAGACGAGCTGAAGGATGCAGTTCTGCTGGTGTTTGCAAACAAACAGGACCTTCCCAACGCCATGGGGGTCAGCGAGCTGACCGACAAACTGGGCCTGCACAGCCTGCGCAGCAGAACTGTAAGGTCCAATCAGCAGCTGCTTCACTGTCAGGTGTCCTGCAGCCACACTCACCTGTCTGTCTGTGTTTCAGTGGCACGTCCAGGCCACCTGTGCCACCCAGGGGACGGGTCTGTACGAGGGTCTGGACTGGCTGTCCAACGAGCTGTCCAAGCGTTAGACCAGCTGACAGGAAGATGAYGTCACCGTGTACAAACCGAGGAGGAGGAGGAGCTTCTCACAGGACTGGGTTTTGTTTTTTATAAATTATAAAGGTGTGCAGGAAGTGATGTCATGGACTCTGAGCTCACCTGGTTTCCCATCATCCTCTTCTTCTGCAGCTGTTTGATCTGTTTTTCTTTTTAATCTGCATGTTTTAACTCCGTCATGTGACAGGAAGTTGTAGGGAGGGGGGGTGGAGAGGCGGGGCTTACGACAGGTGGCAGTTACCTGGTCATGTGATGACTCATTCCACAGGGCGGGACCTGACGGCCTCGTCATTCCTTATTAATGTGAAGAAGAAGAAACGCAGAGACCGCCAYGATGCAATAAAGTTTTTTTTCTTCTCATCTTGTTTGTTTGAATCAGTAAATAAAACAACACAGCTGTTTACAAACTTTATTTACAGAAATAACCAAGAACAGTCCTCCTCCTGAGGCTCCGCCCTCCACGCTGAGGCTCCGCCCTCCACGCTGAGGCTCCGCCCTACGCGCAGACGGCCTGGTGCTGGTTGTTCTGACGTTTCACCACGAACACTTTCTGACCCGAGATGGTCGCCACGTAAACAAAGTCGTCCAGGATCACTGCAGAGGGAGGGGCACAGTTAGCCTGCTGCTACCTGGGCTCAGGTGTTTCCAGGTGGGAGGAGTCACCTCYGTTATGATGTCATCAGCTGACAGATTAAAACTAATCAAACTAGACAAATTAGGTAAAAACAGTAAATTCAAACTAAAAGCTAAAGTGAAGAACCTGAGAGCAGTAAGGTGTGTGTTCACCTGCTGGACCGGACCAACACACTGCTTACCTGACATGCGCTTGAAGGGGGCTTCGGCTGATCCTGATAACCTGAAGCGACAGGCGGTCCGAACCATCTGCATGATGACTCCGGCTGTGTGTTCATCGTTCTCCAGCTCACCTGCAGACTGGACAGGTGAGGGTCTGTCAGGCTCCGCCCTGAAACAATCAGCTGCTCTTTAATCTAACAGCTGACTGTTTACTGATGACGTCACTCTTAAGACTGGAGCCACTTCAACATAAAGTTTATACAAAATAAAATAAAACTATGTTTATATAAAATAAAAAAAATAAAACTTTATATAAAATAAAACTGTTTATATAAAGTAAAACAATGTTTATATAAAAACAATGTTTATATAAAATAAAACAATGTTTATTTAAGGAACTTTAGCAGCAATAAAAACAAAGATTAAAGTTTAAAACTAAATAATTTAGAGGTAAATGTGTCGGAACCGTTCTCGGCCCGTACAGAACCAGAACCTGTGAAGACTCACGGCCAGGACTCCGTCCTCACTGATGACCAGGTACCCGAGCTGGTCCGGGATCCGGTCCAGACCCGCCGTCAGCGCCGCCGTGGTCTGAAACACAAAACCGGGAGCAGCTAAAGCTAACAGGCTAACCGGAAACAGTCCGAGCTTCCGTGAACGTCTCTTTGTTTTTATCAAAATGAACATTAAAACAAACAAAGTGTAAAAACTCACCATTTTTCTTCTTCTTCGCTGCCGTTTGCACAAACTGCAGCTGACTTCCGGTTTTTCTTTCCGCGTGACTCCTCACGTGACCTCTGACGGAACCGCTCACATGACCGACTGATCTGTGCGGAACCGAACGAGCAGCTCCGGTGATGGCGGGCCGCGGAAAACTGATCGCTGTCATCGGCGACGAGGACACCTGCACGGGCTTCCTGCTCGGCGGGATCGGAGAGCTGAACAAGAACCGGAAGCCCAATTTCCTGGTGGTGGAGAAGGACACGAGCATCACGGAGATCGAGGAGACGTTCAAGTAAGGCCCAGCTGACACACACACACACACACACACACACACACACACACACACACACACACAC